CTCATATGTCTGAAATAAAAGTAATATTATTTATTTGTAAAAGTAAATTTACATTTTATTGCGTTTCAATATTTTAACTGTTCTAATACCTTTATAATCCTATAATAATAATTAAAAAAACTAAAAGTAAAACTATTGATATTTAAAAATTCATATTATTATAATATTAAATATCTTTTGAAATTAATTATTACATAATATATATTGTATATTAAATATTATCTATATATGGTTTATGTGCTAGGTATAATAAAAATAATAAATTTCAAGTGACAAGTTTCTTAAGGAGTTGTGTCTCACTTGATTAAAATAACCCTTAGATTTGATAGTTAGTATTAATCAATAGTCAATCAAAGCATTTATTGGAAAATGTGTACTTACATTAAGAAATGTTTGCTGTTCTATATATAGCTGATAATAGATAAAGGTGCAAGATGATAGGTCCTTATATAGGTTATTAGTAGAACTATCCTATAATGATAAAAGCCAGGATATGGACACATCCTCAAATATAAGTTGATATTCTAATAAAAAGAGTAGGTAGCAAGAGTTAATAGTAGCAATAGCCAACAGATTGTTTATATATAGGTAATTGTAATCATCATTGATTTATCAATAAAATCCATGTGTGTATTGCAACTTAGTTTTTAAAAATAATAATAATAATAATAAACTCAAGATATTTCAAGTTTCAAATATTTCTAGAAAAATATAAATTAAACTATTATATTCTTATAACTTTGCTCTTTCCATTAACTTGTTTATATCACTTATATAATATACTTTGTGTTATTTACTTTGCCATTAGTATTGTTATAATAAAATAAGTATAGTTTAATTACAAATAAAAAAATTAAATCAAGAAAAAATCTTTTAAACAAATATTAATAATTGGCTATTATTTACAAAAGTCAAATTAGTAATAATTCTTTAATTAATAATATCAGTTATATTAATACCTTTATAAAATTAAGCAAGTTCTATTTTAAAAAAACATTAAAAAAACAAATGAAAATATTAAATTGACAAATATGGCTAAGATTAATAAATACAATTTTTAGAAAATAATTATAATTGAAATTTATCAAAGTCAAAACTTATAGCAAAAATACATTAAACAATTAAATTAACCAGTTAATCAAGACAATAAAAAAAGAATCAAAAAGTTATTTAGAAAAAATTTTTTTAAAAGATACTTAACATAACAATAAAATTCTAAATTGATTCGAAAACCAATTTCACTGACATTAGAAAAACTTCGATTTGAGTATTATTATAACGGTTATACCAAATATTTAAGCAAACAAAGTAAAAATATTGAAACGCAATAAAATGTAAATTTACTTTTACAAATAAATAATATTACTTTTATTTCAGACATATAATTTTTAAAATTAACAAAATAAGTCTATATATTATTAATTTAACCTGAAGGTAAAACGATAAATTCAAAATAATATGATTGATTAATAAAAGATATCGATTATTAAATAATGTTCTTTTTTCACAAATAAAATTATTTTTTCAAAAATGTATACTGTAAATAATTAATCTTTATTTTTAATTTGGGGTATTAGAATGAATTAACATCGAACTCGAAAGAGATTAAGATTCCAACAATATCTGCTTATTTCGGATGGTCTTTTGCCTTTGATTTAATCATATGACAATTAAAGCGTACACAGTACGCGACTTTGACAGTTCTTAAGGAAATTACATATTGACAAAATGTGGAGGAGTCACTTACTCTTGACAATGACGTACTAGCATTCGATGTTCTTATTAATTTTCCCAACGCACTAAATTTAATGCATATGATAAAAAGTTTAACCCATTTTATCTATTTTATTGTTCGATTCCTGCCTTAAGGTTTCGTCAGAATTCTCGGAATCAGTCTTGCGCTTTTTCTCAGGACGATCAATATCCAATAATCTAGCGTCTTTTTCTACAATCAAGCTTCTTAACCACTTAATTTCCATTTCAAGTTCCTTTACTCGAACTTCGAGCGTTTCAGCCTTTTGTGTCATTTCCTTAGCAGTCCTTTCAAGTGCTTGCTCTCGCATTTTCTTTTTTACGCGGAATCTTGCAGAAGCAGCTGTGTTACGTCTCCGTTTGTCTTCTTCGGCTGCAATCTTAGCAGCCATCTCGGGATCCTCTTTTTGAGTTTCAATGTCTTCTGCAGTGGAATTGGTGCCTGTGGTATCAGTTGATGATTGAACGGATTTTGCCGAATTCTTACGAGATGGAGGGTTTATAGTGGCTTTAGTAGTCGAAGACTTTGATGTATTTCCATTTTCTTCCTTGAGTGCAATTACTTTATTACCCACTTTTGCCGCTGTAGTTAAGCCAGCTGTCAGAGGAGTTGGGTATATTGGCGAATAATTGGCTTGTGTTGTAGGAGTGACGGCTGGCGCAATGGGAATTGGTTGCAGACGTGTTTGTATAAGGGAACTCGCCGTTGGATACGAAGAAAGTAAAGGATGGTACATGTTCTGTGTTTGATTGGTAAATGACGGGATTTCGGTTTGAACTAAAGCAGTCGAATAAGCAACATCGGAATCTTCGAATTTGTTTTCTGCAGGAGACACGTCGAACTCTTCATCCATCATTCCAATAACAGGAACAGGAGGGATATCAAAGCTAAATTCTGCAGTGGCCCAAAGGCTTAAGTCGTCATCTTGAGACGCATTGATTGAATTCTGATCTAGAGAGCTTAAACTGGAAAGAAGTGAGCTGTAAGTGAAATTTGAGGTCATTTTCGTAAACTTGCTGCCGTCTTATGTGATATATCGCTCGCCAGACTTCTGAGCGAAGCAAAGAAAAGGTATACTAGTTTGCTAAAAAAAAATAAAAAAAAATCTATCAATTCGGTGTAACCATCTTTTTCAAGCTGACTAATTCTCGGTCACACAAATATCCTTTCGATAAATTACTAATCAACTTCCAAATTAAATATAAACTAGTAAATGGCATCAGTAAGTGTACCGATTTTACCGATTTTTTTTAGTTTGAATCCTAGTGTGTACGGAACAATTGTATAATCATAATTGCTGAAGAATCATTTATGTATTATTAAGCAGAGTTAGTTATAAATGATATGAATTTTTGTTTTCAAACTTTCAACTTTCCCCGATATAAAATTAATTTGAATGTCTGCTTCAAAAAAATCAGTCATCGCTGCACCCGATGTCCCATATTACACTCCATATCAAGATCCGCCGGTGGGTCTTGCCCTTACAGATGATAGCCAAACTGAATCACTCCCACCGTTATTTCAGCCCCTAACCATTAGAGGCGTTACATTCAATAATCGGATAGCGCTGTCTCCGATGTGCATGTATTCCTCCAAAGATGGACTGTTATCTGATTGGCACCTCGTGCATCTAGGTCAGTTCGCGCTTCGGGGCGTGGGACTGATCTTCGTCGAAGCAACTGCCGTAACGCCCGAGGGAAGGATCAGCCCTCAAGATTCGGGATTATGGAATGACGATCAGATCTTGCCGTTAAAGAAAATCGTGGATCTGGTACATTCGCAGGGCGTTAAAATTGGAATTCAACTTGCTCATGCTGGTCGTAAGGTGTGTTATTTTGACATCTAGAATATTTTTTCAATTTGTGATTTACCATCATGTTTACTACATACAGGCTTCGACAATATCGCCATTTCACGCATTAAAAGAAAAGGCCGTTTCTCATATGCTTTTGACCGAAGAAGACGATGGTTGGCCGAATGACGTAGTAGCACCATCTCCAATTCCTTGGGATGAGCACCATGCAGATCCAAAAGAACTTACTATCTCGCAAATACTTGAAATTCAAGATGCATTCGTTGCAGCCACGAAGAGGGCTTTGAAGGCTGGATTCGATGTTGTTGAATTACATTATGCTCATGGGTATCTAGTTCATGAATTCTTATCTTCGATTACGAATCATCGTAACGACGAATATGGTGGTAGTCTGGAAAATAGGATTAGACTTGCTATTGAGTTGGCGAAAAAAGTAAGGGAAGTTTGGCCAGAGGATAAACCATTATTTGCCAGAGTTTCCGCTTCGGACTGGGTTGAAAATGATGAAAAAGCTTGGGATATTAAACAAACAATTGAGTTATCGAAACATTTGAAATCTGCAGGGGTCGACCTTGTGGACACTTCATCAGCTGGTAACACACCGATGCAAAAGATTAAAATGGGCTTCGGATATCAAGTATCATTTGCCGAAGCGATTAGGAGAGAGGTTGGAATTTTAACAGGCGCCGTGGGAGCAATTATAGAGCCTGAACAAGCAAATAAAATTATCGAGAGTAAGCAGGCAGATATTGTGCTCGTAGCCAAGGCGTTTCTACAGGATGGCAGTTGGGTTTTTAAAGCTGCTAAAGCACTTGGAGCTGAGATTCAAGCACCTCAACAATATTATTATGCTATCAAACGATTAGAGAATTTCTTAAAGCACAATCAAAGATCTTGATGTAAATGACATTGATAAAATTAAGTAAATATTAAAATTCTTGTTAATTGTTAGCGTAATTATACAGTATATTATGTGATAGAAATTTTTGAAACCTTGATACAATTTATTGACTCACTGTTATGGTTTTGTGCTTTATAATATGCTTAAATAAACAATTTATTTAGATTTATTGATATACAGTATATTTAAGCTCGTGATAAAAGTTATAAAAAAAAAAACAAATAATAAAATAATTTATAATTTATAAAAGATTTTGCTATAATATTTGGTTTTTTTTTCGAATATCAAAACGAACCTGTTTATATAACGAAGCTATAATAAAATGCTGGTTATAACGAATTTTTGAATTTTGAATTTACTCAAAATTCATTATAAAAGAATTTTATTATATAAATTTTTACTAATTAGCCCGAAGGCTTCGTTATATCCAAGTTTGATTGTATAAATATTATTTAAAAGATATACAGTGCAGTATACATATTAATATAATAGTGTAATTTTTTAAAATTTAATTTTTAATGTTTCAATAAATTAATTCATATATTATATATTGCAAATATAAAGAAATATTTTATTATACATATATTATTTAATATATTTTTGAAGGCAGACTGAAAATTTTTTGGTGTGATTCTAAAATTTATATTATATATGTATTGTTTAAAAGTTGAATTTGAAAAAATCATATCTAACATTTTTGTCACCTTCAAAAATAATTACCCATATATTAAAGTTTATAATTGTTTCTTAGAATAAAAAACAAATAATACAGTATGCTTATTTATTTATTTATTAAATAATTTTTTTTTTTTTTTTTTTTAATCCCGCAATCAGGTTGGTGTCATTTATTTATTTAATCATAAAGAACCATTACAAG